GAAGCTCAAAATACATGCTGGAAGAAATTTTAATCTATACACACAAACACATCTTCCCTAAAATTAGCACCAAAAGGTAACATACTCTATAAATATGTTATATAAAGGATACAAAAAGCATTTTGAAATAGGAAAGACTAGTATAGACTGAAGGGAGCTCTGGTGGTCTAGTAGTAAGAAGCTGCATTGCATTCCTAAGGCACACGGTTTGAATCTACCAGCTGCTCCATGGGAGAAGGATGGGTTATCTCCTCCATGTGATTAAGGCTGCTGGAGGGTCAACTATGGGTCAGTTCCAACTCAAGGGTACACAACAACAACAACAAGTATATATAGATTGAAGACAGGGAAGTGGGAAGTGGTGGGACTTGTTCTGGGCTTTAAGGGGTGGGTACAATTTGCATTAGTAGGAAAGCAGGGAGAAGTCCAGATTGCAATAATAACAAAATATAAAGGTGGGGAATATAAAGAAAGTATATGACACACAGTTGAGAATTAAGTAATCAGAAAGAAAGTGGTTCAAGAGAAGTGTTTGTATTTCAACCTTCTTTTTTTATTACCCACAATATACCTATGAGGTATGGTATCTTCCCCTCATGAACTATAAGAGGCATCAGTAAAGATTTTCACGGCTGACAGGATACTAAAACTGGTTAAGAACAAAGGCAAGAAGGGAATGGCATAAGCATTTATGATCTGACTTTAAATTTTAAATGTTAGGTAATAACAGTGGCAATAGTGAGAATGAAAAACAATGACAGAAATAGCTAAGTCTGAAAATGAAGCCAACAAGGTGAATGAAGCTCATTTCAGACACACTGAGTTTGAAATGGTAAAACACAAAATAGGAACTGGAACTGTGAGATGGCAGCACAAGATAGTCAAGGACTTTAGAAATACTTGGGAATCATCATGGCACACAGTCAAGAGAAGTAACCAAGAAAAGAAAAATGTGAAGGAGACACAGAATGAGAGACGAAAAAGTGTCTCTGGCAAAGGTAGCAGTAGCAAACTAGGAAATAAGCACAAGAATATGTAGGAGAGCATAACCCAAGAAAGCAGTAACCAACCCAGTAGGAACGGCCTGAAAAATAGATTTGGTTTTGAGATTGTTGTTGCTTTTATGTGTTGCTGAGTCAGAACTGACTCACAGCTGACCATCCAGTGGGTTTTCAGAGGCTGTAGATTGTATGGGAGAAGATTGTCTAGCTTTTGTGGAGCAGGTGGATGATTTCAACCACATGGCACAGTATACAGGGAGCTCTGGTGGTGTAGTCTGGAGGGAGCCAGCCCTGCTAACCCCAAAGTAGCATCTTTCAGGCATTTTTAATCCACCAGCAGCTTTGTGAAAGATGTGTAATCTTTTCCCCCCCCATTCAATTTACAGCCTCAGAAAACCTACTGGAGGGGTCAGTTCTCAGTCAGTTCCAACAATGAGTTTTTGGGGCACAGTTAAAATCAGACCGAAAAAGGTTAAAGGATAGAAGGAATAAAATGGCCACACAAAACAGTAAGAGAGAACTATAAACTGGTAGTTTAAAATAAAACCCCAAACTACTCCAAAATAAATCTGTTAAGTCAATTTCAACTTACCAGGACCCTTTAAGTCAGAGTACAATTATCTGAGAGGGTTTCCGTCGCTACTGTAATATTTACAGGAGCAGACTATCACAGCTTTATTCCAGAGAGAGGTTGGTAGATTCATACTATGACCTTTCAATTAGCAGTCAAGAGCTTAACCATCAAGCCATTAGGACTTCTCCAAAGTAGCAAGAGAAGATAAGAAAAAAAGTATTTAGGAAATCCACCCATAGGCACTTTTGAAGAAAAATATGGAGGTTTAGTTTTTGAAAACTCTCTGAAGCCGAGTTCTACTCAAGATACATTGGTTATGTGCAGATAATCCTATATGAGGATGAAAGTCAGAGCAGAGGTAAAGATGAAGAGCTAATAAAGATGAGATTAGTAATGTTAATCAGAAAATTTACTGACCCCTTATGTGCCTATCACTGTATCTGTATTATACTCCAGGAATTTTCACTGTCATTGTTATTTTAAGTGCTTGATACTTTTATCAACCTAAGTAGCAGAAAAGAAAGCTAAAGTGAGTGGTTAAATTACTTAAGATCACAAACCTAGAGAAAGGCAGAATCAGGAAATGAGTTAAAGGTTGTCTGACACAGTTCTTGCTAAAAGCCTCTATGTGTATCAATATAGCATCCAGATAAAAGTCAATCCCTAAGCTTCTGCTGACTGCTCAGGAGAAAATTTTTAATACGGATGTTGTTGTTAAGTGCCGTCGAGTCGCAGGCGACTCATAGCGACCCTATGAAGGAGAGTCTTCTCTCGAGGTTCATAGGGTTTCCAGAGGCAAGCTACTATGGAAGTGGATGGCACTCCTCCTTCCAAAATAAGGATGTAGTCATAGGAAAATTTAAAGCTAAAATCACTATTCTTTGAAAAGCAATAACCTTTCACTGTCCCACTTGTGATCAAACCTGTGGATCAAACTTGACCTTAAAATTGATAAAAATTAAAAGTATTATCTCATAAAACAAAAAAAAATTGCTTGCTATTCAGTTTAAAAGATGATGGTGGTGGTGGCTGTCGATTACCTTCAAGTCAAGCACGACTCATAGCAACCCTATGAACAAAAGGCCTGAAGCCCCTCTACAACTATTGATATTTATCAAAGTTCATAGTTTCCAGAGGCATGTTATTTAGGAAGTGGATGCCATAGAATATCGGTGGGAAACAAAAATCTGGAAATTAAATATATAGCAAAATTTCTAACTTCCTTGAAGTTACAAACACAAACTACAAATACAAACCCCTCCCTGTTCGGTGCTTTGGTCATATATAAGGAAGCTCTGAACATCTGGTTGCTTTCTTAAGACAAGGAGGTCATATAATCACTACCTGATTGTTAATACAGAGAAAAGCAAGAACATTCAGCTAAGTTTGGATCAAAAAAAAAAAAAAAACCCAAAAAAAAAACACCACTTACTGAAAGATCAACAATCCCTTACTTTTCTTTCGATTTCTTCATTTTGGCATTTCTCAATAGAACTTTCATTAAATGGTAGGGTCAGAAAAAAGTGAAGTACAAACTGTCTGATTCTACTATTTACTTACTAATAGCTTTAGTAAACTAAGGATTTTTACCAGAGAAGTAAGAGCTGAGATTATTACAACTTTTAATTATTTGTTATTCATAGTCTGTCTCATTACCAACGTACTCACTAGGAATCAGTGTTAAAGCAGTAGGATAGTATAAAAATGTAGTTACTATCATCTCAGGTAAAACTGTCTTTATTAAAATAAAGTTTCAATTGTTTAAGATGTAAATTAACCATGTCAGTCACAGTCTAGGCTTATGTTATCAATGGCAATGCAGACACTTTTATTGGAATGAAATCAGTAATCAGTCTACTAACCCAAAGTTTTAATTAATCTAGTGTTCTTTTCCTCTAAATATATGTTAAATCATTACTACACTTGACTTACATTAACCATGACTCAAAATACTTTACACTTACAGGACCCTAAGCAGAAAAATTAAATCATCTGGATTAGTTCAGCTAACTGTACATTTTGGATTTTGTAAAGCTTAAAAGTGTACCTTATACAAGCACTACGTGAAGAAGGACAAATAAATCACAAGCAAATTGACGGGGAAAAAACTTATGTAATTTTAAGATACTAAATATTAGTGCTCTTCCTGATTATTTAAATTCACATTTTCAAGATACAGAAGAACAAAAATAAACAGGTAGATAATATATTCAAATAACAAATAATCAAATAACAAGAATTGTGTACTTGAAAACAGTAGCTAAATTTAGAACCTGTCCAAGATTATCTCATTAAGCTATCTTTTTTTAATTCAGCTTGAAATTAGTAACTGGCTTCAAACTATGTGATTCTCTTGCCATTTTTTACACAATTCAAAAACTACAAACAGATAGTCATTGAGGTAGCTCTTATCTCACTATCATAAAGTAGCATATTTGAATGATGATCCCTAACTTTTCTATTACTTTTAGGAAAATTACAGTAAATGTAAAAATACAGTCATCCAATCAGCGTCTCTCTGGATTCTTTATTCAATCTCACAGTAAATCATTCCCTCCTAACAGTCAACCAGATGAATTCCTGTGGTTGAATGCCCTATATCAAAACAAAATATGTATCTAACAATGCAGAATTTTCATCTTTTAAAACTTCTGGAATTGCAAAGAAATGCATCATAAGAATAATACATTTAAAAATACTCATCCATGAGACTTTATTGACAACTGCCCCCAGCGTTTCTACATTAAACCTCCTGTATTTACCAGTGCAGTGTTTTGAAAAAGTACCCCAATAGCTTAGCCACAGGCTTTACTTAATGTTCTAAATAAATACTGCCTAATTTTCCAGATTTTTAATGTTTGAAATAACCATTTTTATTATTTCACACTTAGTAAAACTGAAATCTCTTTATACCAAAGTTTAAAATATCCTGACTATTGCATAAATTTATATAGCTATTTTAAAATATTCCATACTATCTTCTATACCCTAACCAGTATTATGAAAAACAGTCCTTTAAATACTAGATCTCCTAACTAAGAAAACCTCACACCTATGAAAAAGCAGTTTCCTCTGCTATGATGATGATCTCAGTCATTTAATTTTATTGGTATAATACTTTCAACACCATTAATTCTTTCATACTTATCTTTAGTGACATAATATGCAAGTAAATATTATTAAACATTTTTTTTAAATTAGGCATCTATGCTGAAAAATACTGCTTTCTCATTGCAGTATAACCTTTGCAGGCCAGGAGTCAAAGCACAGCAATCATTTTTCAAAAGATAAATATTTATATTACACAAATATTAGATATTCAATTGACCTATTATAAATACCACACCTATCAGACAATGATCCTCCAAAATGAAAATTAATACTCCTTAATTAAAACTTAATACTAAATTTTACAGTTTACTCACCTGAACCTCACTTGTCCTCTGTTTAACAGTATCTTCTTTCTCCTTAAGGTCCTGTTCCACATTATTCTTTTCCCTAGAAGACCAGCAAACAATGCAAGAATATTTAAGAACATCAGCTACAGCCGGTATGGTTATCCATCCTCCTAATCCTGAATCGCTTTTTAAATACATAGTGAAACATTCAATGTTAAAATGAAGGGCAGATTTTTCTACCCTCTAAATTATTTACAGAATAGAAATCAATATAAGCTGTTTGTAAAAAAAAAAAAAATGCTTTCTCACTAAAATGTGGTGAAAAGAGAACAGATTAAAAAAAGGAAAAGGAGAAAAATAAGTCAATGAAACACTCAGGCTTTACTGATCTCACTGTTGCTATGGAAATAGTGTCCAATGAAAACTGCTGGTGAGAAAAAGGAGGAGTTGCATCAGCCTTGTAAGCTTAACCCTTAGGTATCACTGTCAAATGATATGAAAATGGCTAAGAGAAGAGTCAACAATATTAAGAAAAGGTTATGCAGTGGTGTTAATTTCATCTTAAATCACCAGTGCATCATATCAATTTTAGAGTGAAATAACATACTGAAAATTGCAAATGACACAGGTCATTTGACCTATCAAATACCACATTTGTTAGGGGAAAAAAACCAAAACAAAACCCACAAACCCAAACAGCTTTAGAATAACTCAGGATACCAAATCGATTAAAAAACATAAAATATTAATGGGGGGGGAACCATGGCAGAATTTATCTTTCTAATTTTACGTCAAATATAGTTAAAGACCATTATTTAAATTCTTATATTCTATTTCTTTGGTTGCAAAATGTTCAGCTGCTCATGTGTACTGAGACAGTATATATCCCTTTACCTTATTTCTATGAAATGTGAGAAAATTCATAATCATATTTACATACGTATATAACCAGAACTTAAACTAAGACCAGAACTCTACAGCAATACATTTTTGGCTTAGCAGTGCAGCTCCTCATAGATTAAATGGAGGAAAAGGATAGCATTTAAAAAATCTTCCAGACTAATATTGCAGCTAGAGTTCCACAATTCTATTTCTGTTTTCACCTCAGAACTGTATCTCAGGCTCCATTAAGCTCTAGCTTAAAATTAAAGAGAAAAAATTATGCCAAAAGAGATGCTTGTGGGACAGCTGCATACTACATTTCTATTTCTCATCTTCCGGTGGAGAGATTTTAAATGTAGGCAAAAATCAACTGTTTTGTATACGTAGGGATAATATTCTTAAGATTCATATAGGAAAAAAGTATACATGAATAAGGCTGTTACTTTTAAACACCTGAAATGGTCAAAGAGCTCACTAGCCATCTGTCAGATGGTTGGTAATGTGGGTCACAATGTCCTGGAAATTTTAAACAGTCCCATACCATGCTATATACTATTGTAGCTCATTCCTTCCATATCTCAACTGCCTTATTATATACAAAGGTCATTCCTCACTTTTAATCCTTTACCAAATTAAGCCGAAATAAAAACAGAAAAAATGAAAAAAGCATAGAAGAAACAAAAATCAGAAAATACCCTCAGATTCTACAAATTCAATCTTGGAAATTTTTCTTTCCTCCTTATGAGAACACAGTAGTATTTTCAGGCCCTGCTGTGGCATGCCTGAGATAAATTACATTAAAAACTAGACCCTTCTCCCAATTCCAAATCCTCAGAGGCAATCTATACAAGGTTAATATCAATTCAGCTCATTTCTCACAGTACATAATAAGAAGAAAACATTACACAGCATCATAATAGACCATTACCACACACACAGATGTATACCATGGTAGGCAGTCCTTTCTGCTCTGCTGTTAACTGGTATACTGACAGTCTCTGCTCCATTCTAAGTGGATGGAGGAAAAATAGGCTGCAAGAAGGTAATGAGCTGACTTAAAGAAGGTAAGATAGAAAAATGGAAAGGCAAAGGAAGGTAATAAAAAAATAGAAAACAGACTCTTAAAAGACTCTGCAGAGACTTTTCACAGAGGAAGACAGTTGAGTGGCCAACGGATACATGAAGAAATGCTCAAACTGGTAATGAGACAGATGCAAATCAATACTACAGTGAGTGTCACCACTTGTTTAAAGAGGACAGCAAGCAAAATATGTTATAGAGGATGTGGAGAGATTGGATTTCTCAGACATTGTTGGTGGTGCTGTCAAATGGTAAAACTACTCTGGAAGGCATATTGGTGTTTCCTCATAAAGCTGAACATAGACAGGAGAAAAAAAAGACTCTTCCTAGTAATTAATATAGTCTATATTTGAGTACAAATCTCTGTTCAGTGTCTTTAATTCATAATATGAGATGTCTCTGTGTGTAGTGTACCAAGGGGAGGAACAGTGGGAAAAACTTCAAATATATTCTGAAGACCACGTTAATCTATTAAATACTGAAGCATTTAGGCATTAAATCCTCTTGGTTTTAGATGCTGTCAAGTTGTCTATGACTCATTTTGTTGTTGCTATGTGCTTATATACAATAGACTAGAACTTAGCACCATCCTGCACCACTTTCATGATCTCACCATCCTCAAGCCCACTGGTGCCGTAACTGTGTCAATCTATCTCACTCAAGGTCTTCCTACTGTGGGCAAGTTGTCAAAGTGGACCAGTCTTTAATTCTTCTTAGTTTTGTTCTTGTTGAGTACTACTGAGTTAGAACTGACCCACAGCTAACCCTCTACTGGGTTTTCAGAGGCAGTTTAATCACATGGGAGGAAACAGTCCATTTTTCTCCCACAGAGCTACCTACTGGATTTGGGATTGCAGCATAGCTTCTACCAATATGCTGCCAGAGCTCCCTAGATGCTTCCTCTTAGGAAAATGGTTATTGTTGTTATGTGCCATCGAATCACTTGTGACTCAGAGCAACTCTGTGTACAAGAGCCCTAAAGCCTGCAGTATTCTGTGCCAACCTCACTGTCTCCAACACACCTGTTACCATTATCCCAGTCACTGAATTGATCCATTTCATTGAGGGTCTTTCTTGCGCTGTCCCTCTACCCTCCCAAGCACGATGCCCCTCTCCAAGGACTGGTTCCTCCTTACAACATGTCCAAAGTATGTCAGACAAAGCTTTAGAAGCCTTGCCTCCAAGGTGCAGCCCAGTTTCACCCAAGAAAAACCTGTTTGTTTTACTAGCAGTCCATGGTATATTCAACACTCTTTTCCAGCACCACAGCTCAAAGGCATCAATTCTCTTTCTGTCATTTCTAGTCATTGTCCAGCTCTCTGATGCATAGCATGCAACTGCAAAGACTATGGCCTGAATCAGGTGCACCTTAGTCTCCAGTCTGATGTCACTGCTCTTCAGTACTCTAGAGAGAGGTCCCTGACAGCTGACTTTTCCAATGCAATTCGTCTCTTGATTTCCAATCCTACCAAGAGTATTGACTGTGGAGTCAAGCAAACTAAAACTGTTAACAATCACAATCTCTTCACCATCCATTATGATGCTGCCAATTGCCCCAGTAGAAGATTACTGAGATTATATTTCATTTACAATCATATTTACCTCATAAAATCCTCATCTCATAGTAATTTCTATTATAAAAACTAAGTACTATAACATTCATTGCCAAATAAGAGAATTTCCCAAAATAATAAAGCTTTCTATCTCCTTCTACAAAAGGTATCACTGAAAACCTATCCTACAAATCAGACAGATGATCAATTAATTTTCCTACTGACTTAGATTACAACTTCAAAGATACCAAACTGCTATTCTGTCATCTCCCAATTCTCCTAACTTCTATAATTCTTTTCATTTAAGGCATGTAAAAATAACAGCACACATTTAGGTGAATTAAGAATTTCTTATGTTCTTGAGGGAGCTCTGGTGGCCTACTGGTAAGAAGCTGTGCTGCAATCCCAAAGCTGTGCAGTTTGAATCCACCAAATGCTCTGCTGGAGAAGGAGGGGCAATCTCCTTTGTATCAGTTGGATCTGATTCAACAGTACACACACACATACACACACACACACTCTCTCTCTCTCTAATAAAATAAAAAAAATTTTTTAAAATGTCTTATAATCTTACAATACACTATTTCAAGCAATAGTATATATAATGCCAAAGGTGATAGATATGTAACACAAAGAATTTTGTTTAACATTAATAATTTTAAAACAATCTGGTGGATTGTTGGGTTTTTTTTTTTAGTGTGAAGCAAAATGTATAAGAACTTTGTAAGCAAACCAATTGAAAAAGAAACATTTATAAAAACTTATCAATGTTTTCAAAGGTTCTGTGCCTCAATAAAGTGTAATATTTCTATGCAGCTTTCCCAGGAAGTTATCATAAGCAGATAAGTCAAATATGAGATATACTGTGTATCACTTATCTTGAATGTCATGATAGAAAAAGCTACAACTCTTACCTTGGTAATTTGCAGAAAAGGTAAAACCCTATACACTATCTTAGATGATTTCTTTGTCACTCTTCATTCAAGAAATGTTTACACATGTGGAGAAACCTACAATTATCAAAACTATTTGTCAAGGATACAGCTCCCTGGTTTTCTAAAAAGTGAGAGTAATGATTTCATGGAGCACCATGTACCTGAGCCAGCAAGGATAGTATGATTCAAATCAGACTTTTAGAAGGACAGAGGCTTCTTTTGCTTTTAAAGAAGAGCGAACTGGGGGTGGGGGTGGGGTGGGTGGAGAGAAAAGTGCAACAATGAATGAGTGGAAATCCAAAATTTCTGTAAATGTTCATTGAAATTAATAAAAAAAAAAAGGACAAAGGCTGAAAACAGTATAAACCTAATATAAAACAGTCAGTACTAGTCATGAGGACAGTCAGTTCAGGGACTGAAGTCTATGTAATGTACTTCTATTTTCCCAGGCTATGTTCTTGGGGAGAAAGGAGTGTAACATTTGTCTTCATATTTTATTATCCAGAGATTATTACAAGGCTGGAGAGCGTTGGTGGTATAGTCTATTTAAAGTTTTAAATTAGGTTGTGCTCCTAACCAAAAGGTGGAAAATTTTAATCCACCAGCAGTTCTACAAGAGAAAGCATAGCAAGCTCCTTACAGTGGAACGT